AGAGTGTTGTGGGAGGAGTTATTTAATTTGATTAATAAAAGGAGAGGAAGATGGTGCTTAGGGGGGCAATTTCAACGTTGCAAGAAGGGTAGAGGAGAGGGTGGGGTGCAAAGATCTAACCATGGAGATGAATGAATTTAACAGCTTTATTCATGATGTTGGGTTAATGGATTTACCATTGATAGGAAAAAAGTATACTTGGTATAGCTCCAATGGCCAATATATGAGTAAAATTGATAGATTTTTTATTTCTGCTGAATGGCTTGAGAAATGGATTGATGTGAAGCAGTGGGGCTTGGGCAGATCAGTGTTAGACCATTATCCTCTAATACTGAAGAATGAAAAAGTAGACTGAGGGCCAGAATTGTTCAAATTCTTTGACTGTGGTTGGAGCAAATCGAGTGTAAGGAGTTGATAAGAAAGGTATGGAACTTTACAATGGATAATGGGAGAATGGAATTCAGACTAAAGGAGAAATTGAAAGGAACTAAAAAAGCCTTGAAGGTGTGGAGTGGTAACTACACGGCTAACATAGATAGTAAGATAAAAGAAGCTAAAAAGATGATAGCTACAATGGATGAGAAAGGAGAAAATGTCCAGTTATCAGAAGAAGGCACTAACAAGAAGATAGGATGCTTCCTTGATCTCTGGAAAAACCTAAGAATTAAAGAGAGCATGTGGCAGCAAAAATAAGGAAGATGTGGCTAAAAGATGGGGATGCAAACACAAAATTTTCCCACAATTGCATAAAGGGCAGATGGAGAAGAAATGAGATAAACAACATCCAGGTTAATGGAAAGCAGCTAAAAGAAGAGGTGGCAAAGCTAAAAGAAGAGGTGGCAAAATACTTTCAAGAACTGTTCATAGAAGACAAATGGCAAAGACCAAAGCTGGATGGCATCAACTTCAAACAACTATCCCAAACAAACAATGAACTCCTTATGGCTAAATTCTCAGAAGAAGAAGTAAAAAACGCAGTGTGGGATTGTGAGCCAACAAAGTCCCCGGGGCCTGACGGGTTCAATTTTAAGTTCATTAAGACCATGTGGGAGGACATAAAACATGATATTATTGGCTTTGCTCAGGAATTTCATGAACATGGCAAGTTGGTAAAAGGATCAAATGCATCCTTCATAGTCTTAATCCCAAAGGTTGAAAACCCCCAAGGAATTGAAGAATACAAACCCATCTCATTCATCGAAGTCATGTTCAAGATTCTATCAAAGCTATTAGCTAACTGCCTTAGGAAAGTACTGGATAAGATCATCGGGGAGCAACAGATGGCATTCATAAAGGGCAGACAGATGCTGGACGAGGTGGTGATTGCAAATGAGGTGATTGATGAGTCAAAGAGGAAAAAGATGCAAAGCTTTCTACTCAAACTAGACTTCAAAAAAGCTTATGAAAAGGTTTGTTGGGACTTTATTGATTACATGTTATTGAGAATGGGGTTTACTACCACATGGGGAAATTGGATAAAGGAATGTCTACAATCGAGTATAATATCAATTCTCATTAACGAAAGTCCAACAAGACAGTTCCCAATTAGCAAAGGGATAAGACAAGGTGACCCACTATCCCCTTTTTTGTTCTTAATAGTGGCAAAGGGATTGAATGGATTATTGTTATCTGCAGTGGATAAGAAAGTGTACAAGGGAGTGAGGATAGGTAATGGAGATGTAATGGTATCCTACCTCCAGTTTGCAGATGATACAATATTTTTTGGCGAAGCATCAGAAGAAAACATTCAAGTCATCAAATGCATTCTGAGGACCTTTGAGTTAGTTTCAGGACTGAAGATCAACTTCGAAAAAAGTCAGCTAATGGGTGTTGGGGTTAAGGAAGATTGGAAAAAGAAAATGGCATACACTCTTCACTGTAAAGAGGGTGAGCTTCCTTTCAAGTACCTGGGAATTCCAATTAGAGGGAATCATAGAAAGTTAGCAATGTGGAAACCACTGGTGAATTCTTTCAAAAAGAAACTAGCAAGTTGGAAGGGCCGAAATTTATCGTTGGGAGGTCAAATCACGCTTATAAATTCTGCGTTGTCCAACTTACTTGTGTTCCTGATGTCAGCCTACCTAATCCCCAAAGGTATACTCTAATCTTTAGATAAAATTCGTAGACATTTTTTATGGGGAAGGAAGGGTGAAGCGAAAAAAACCAATTGGGTTAGTTGGGAGAGGGTATGTAAACTAAAGGAAAAGGGATGACTAGGTGTAAGAGACCTAAGAAAATTTAATGTGGCATTGATGGGAAAATGGTTGGGTCGGTTAGCAAATATGGAAGAGGGCTTGTGGAAGAGTGTTATTGTAGGAAAATATGGAGTAAAGGGGGGCACTGGCTGGAATGGGTGCATGATGGCAAGAACATAGGATCATTATGGTGGAGAGATGTCTAAAGTCTCAAAGTCGGGGAGGGGATGAATGCGAGGTGGTTATGGGAGGGTTTTAGGCTAGAGATAGGGGAAGGGAAAAAGGTTAGCTTGTGGTGGGATGTGTGGTGTGGGGAGGAGTGTCTAGCTAACAAATTACCCATTTTGTAGTCATTGTCAACAGGGAAGGAAAAAGAATGTCATGAAATGGGTAATGCTGATCAAGGCACATGGAAATGGAACCTGACATGGAGAAGAATCTTGTTCGAGTGGGAAGACGAAGCAACTAGAGAACTAAAAAAGATGACCGAAGATGTGAAGATCACACCAGGCCACTCAAACAGATGGGAATGGATCCACAGCAAGGGTGGCCAATACTCAACAAATATAGCCTATCAAATATTATCAACGTAGAGGGAATTGAAGGAAACTAAAATATTTAAAACAGTTTGGAATCCCATCATCCCAAGTAAAGTTGCTACGTTTAACTGGAAAGCACTACTAGACAGAAGCCCAACTAAGCTTAACTTGATCAAAAGAGGAATTATCAAAGACATGGTAGAAGAAAAGTGTGTTTTGTGTGAGGAAACGAATGAAGATTCTATCCATTTGTTCTTAAACTATAGAATAGTTTGGTGGTTGTGGCAAGCATGTGCAATTTGGTGGTGAATAACTCCCACACTACACAGAGATTGCTGGACAACATTTTAGCATTCTGGGGCATGGACTACAAAACCACGTATCTCAAAAGGGTGGGATTGTATCTGCAATGCAGTTACATGGACTGTATGGATGGCACGAAATGGAAAGGTTTTTCATGACTTGAAGGTAAACCCAAGCAAACTTTTTGAGCTTATTCAATTGAGATCATTTGCATGGATCAAAGCAAGGAAAGCTAGGTGTTATTTCACTCTTTCATATTGGTTGAGTGATCCTACCTTTTGCCTCTTAATTAATTGTAGAGGAAAGTAGATTACAGTAGAAAAGGTTCGAAAGATAGGATTAATATTGAAGGGCTTGTTTTTTGTATTTGTATTAAGGGTTTGAGTACCCCTTGTAATCAATGAACTATCCATTTGCTGTTCAAAAAAAAAAAAAAAAAAATTAGATTCATAGTGAAGAACTATGATAATAAGATAGCCAGAAGAAACGAACAATTACTCTGCAAATGTCACCGCTACAACCACCATGTTTTTCTGACAAAAAGGACTTCATGCTGCTTCTCGCATACAATATTCGTATGCCACTGATACTGGCATCACACACAAACACAATGATTTTATGAATATCGGAAAAGACACCGTCATCCCAAGTTTCCCCACCATCCCCTCCCCACGGCCCTGCGTCTCGAGGTAGATCCTGTACACACAGCGGTTTGTTAAACCATAATATGACAAGGATTATTAGAAAGACATTTTAATAGATCTAGCCTTATACTTGGACTGAATTAATGGGGAATGCAGTCAACGTTAATGGCTCTACGTAGGCCCCTAAAGCGTAAATGTAATCTCCAGCACGTCCATGGAACCCAACAATAATCCCATCTTCCATCTGTAAAGAAAAATAATATCCTGTCTCCGTACCGAAAGGCCCATATTCGGTGATATTGGTTTTGAAGCGAAGAGAATTCAGGACATCTCCAGTTTCTTTCGTTGTAAAGCAAGTACCACTAATAGAAGTTAGGTATTCTCTTGGCCAAGCGATTGAAACCTACAAAAAAAGCAGCTTTTAAATGAAAATCAATTGAATTTTCATGACCAATATTAATAAACTCATTCTTGAGACTAACCTGAATAGGAGTTCCACCATCCCCACCAAATTTCTGGCAATGTTCACAACCATTACCCTCATCACTTTTGAAAGAGATGGAATCTATAAATGATCCATGGAAGAATATTACAATTTCTGTAATCCCACCTTCCGGACGGTAGCTCCATTCCATCCCACCCTCCACGCCCCAAGGCCCCACTTTAATGCAAGAATTCACCATGTCAGTGGACTCTTCCTGTAATTAAACACACTAAACTTAGGTAATAATTAAACGATTCTAAATTATTTTCCCAAAAAATTGACTTATACTAGCAGAAAGAAAAAGATGTTAGTTCTAGTAGCAGCAGACATCAAACAAAACAAACAATAACATTTTCAAACTAGAGATTTGAAAAGCGTGAATCCGGAGATGATGTTGGGAAGAGAAGTGAGCTGCCCTGATTATAGCTCATATACAACAATTATTGGGGTCAGTCAGGCTATACAATTGGACATCGGTGAGTTTATAAAATGTGAGGATATGTTTGAGCCGCTCTTGCCATGTCATTAGTAGTTTGACCCGCCACTTTTCTCTAGGACAGTCCGAGCCGCCCAAAGCTAGCCTAGTCCAAACTAAATCGCTTAGTTGAGACCAGTGACTGCCACATGATGTCATATGCTGTGACAGCTGGACGCCCCCTGCAAGGACGTCCATGAGTATGCATTACACCCAAACTGCCCAGATACATCTACTACAGTCTTGCCACGTGGACATAACCTTTTTTAGCTCCACCCCACATATACAATTCTTAAGGTACATTTGTCATAAATTAAATTTTAACCCGAATTTAGTTAAAAATAAAAAATTTAAAATTTGCTTCGAAAATTAGCCACTATAATTTATTCTGTTTCAGGGGACTTGATAGTGAAAAGGACTGAGGCTTGGGTTGAAATGTAGAAGAAAAATGGCAAAGCTAGGTTTAATTGCACAATTCAATAGGAGGGACCAAATGTGTGAGGAAAACATTGCTATATTTGGGGCCTAATTGCATCCAAACTCAAGTCAGTAGCCACAAACTTCTCATTTCTCAACCTATATGTATATATACATATATATATATAAATTAATAAATAAATAACGACCAGCTCGTTAAACCTGGTTCAAATCCATTATGCCTAATTCCCTACATACAATAATAATAATAATAATAATAATAATAATCTCAAAATTCCCAAATCAGAAATTAACACAAGGAATGGATGTTTTCTTTCTAGTGTTGTCCCCTATTTTCTCCCACTATTCCCGTTCTCCATTGCCCCACTCTTATCCGGTGGTCCCAAGTTTGTCCAGCCACGACAACAATCGCAGATCTGCGAGGATATGTCCGACCACCCCAATTATTTGCCAACAGTTCGAGCTGTAGATCATGAGGATAAGATCTCTACCTTTGCCATCAGTCTAAGTTGCAGAGAAGACTCGTATGAGCCTGTCACACTCGATCCAAACCAGGTTGAAAAAGATGCTGAACACCTGTGAGAGGATCTCACAAGTTTACAAGGCTCAAAACTTGCTTAATATATTATGCAAAAATCCATAACTTCTAACAATCCACTAAAATTCATTATAAAATAAATTGAATAATCCAAAATCTATAGTCAAATACCTAACCAAGTCAAATTATGCTTAAAACTCCAATATCATCAAAATCATCTAAATATCCATGTCCAAAATCCAAAACTAGTCTCAATCAAGAAATAAGTGAACTAACCATCTAGTACATCACTCACCCTAATACCCAATGTCTCAATTCTCGTTGCTTGAAATGGTGATTCAAGGTTCAAAACTTGCTTAATATATTATGTAAAAATCCATAATTTCTAATAATCCACTAAAATTCATTATTAAATAAATATTTTAAATAATCCAAAGTCTGTGGTCAAATACCTAACCAAGTCAAATTATGCTTAAAACTCCAAAATCATCAAAATCATCTAAATATCCATGTCCAAAATCCAAAACTAGCCACAATCAAGTAATAAGTGAACTAGCCATCTAGTACATCAGTCACCCCGATACCCAATGTCTCTAGTCCCATTGCTTGAAATGGTGAATGAGAAAAACAATGTGAGATAACTCAATACACAAATTATGGGTAGCCCCATTTTGATTTAAAGAAAGCATGACAGATATAAAGAATATCAAAACAGTAATTTTAGTCATAATCCAATAATGCATAATAGACATCATTTAGTGGTCTCCTAGATTAGCCATGGCCAAAGTTTAACAAAACTCCCATTGGCAGGCATCGGTAGTATAACAAGATGAACCAATTCTCCAGTAATACATGTCGACATGTGCTAGCTTTTACCAAACTCCCACTAATAGGCTTTAGTAATCATGACCAAGTTGGAGACAAAACAATGCAAGTATATAATCATGATACACTTTTCAGAATCTCATGTAACCAGTATATTTCAGTAGGTATTTCACGAAGGGGCATGCTCAACTTTTAGTTTAGAACAGATATAAAAACTTTATATCAAAACATGTCATACTCATATTATTATAAAATGGGTTAAGTTCCATATGATCCAAGGAAGGTAGGGGTAGAACAAACGGACACTAAGAACTCCGTAAAATTAAAGATGGAACCAAGAAAACTTAGGTTTTCAACCTCAAGTTTATTCTCAAACTAAAATATCATAACAAAGACTGATTTAGAGATTTAAAGATAACTATATATACTAACAGTAGCCAAGAATCCTAATTCAATACTAATTTGAAATTCTAATAACCTACTAATTCTAGTCCTAATCAGAAATCACATGCTATCCACGTGACTTCCCTAAAATTAAAACCTAGATTCCAAATAAAACTCAAACTAAAACAAATAATTAAAAAAAAAAAACACTTTATGCTCCTCCATCATTCCACCACCACCTCAAAACAGTTTAAAATATGCCTTTAAAACCACAATTTAAAACCAAGGGCAAAACTATAAATTTACTTACCTTACTATGTAGAAAATCAAAATTCCACAAGCCCGAAGGATCAAGATGTCCAAGATAATTCAAGAACCTAAACCAGAACATGAATGAATTCTTCCATTATAATCATAAAAAGCTAAATCCTGAAAATTTTATAATTAATGACCATTCTTATTCAAATCATGCTCCCTTTAATTTATGAGAAAGCACGGAATATTTCTCTTGAGACTCACCAGGAAGTTAAGGACAGAGAATTGAGCCTAAGACAGCAAAATTGGATACCAAATCAACAAGGATTTGAGAGCGAGTTCTAGTCAGATTATGAACCAGAACTTCAACTGAATTCGCACCTTTAAATCAGTGGAATTGGTTGAATGATCAACAGATGAATTGTAGCCCTATCTATTAGCTTTCCATAACTTCAAGAATCACCTTAATCCGACATCTATAAAAAAAGTTATGATAAAAATACTACTGCAAGGTTATGCTGTCAAATTTTGAAGCACGAATTTTCCAGTTTGATTACAGGGTAAAAGGCAACTGAATGCTCCTGAATTTTATCCTACGAACAGACCCGTTGACTCCTATGACAGACCTCTAAAATTCTACAGTGTTGACAGCAACAAGACGCACTCATATTTGCTGCACCATACACGCCCAAACCCAGAAAATTTAAGAGCAAAACCAGGATACCAATCTGCAAAAATATCCGTTCATGCACAAGGAATTCTCGTTACGTGCAAGTGGTAAAAACAATATAGTTTTAAGTAGTTTAGATCTGTGGCTCTTACCCGAAAATTTTTAACTCAGCGTCACGAATCTATGGATGGAATCAAACCTTGAATTCGAGTGGTTAAACACAAGAATTTTCTGCAAAATACAAAGTGGAATCAGAGGAAGGGAATAGACTAAGATGGCTGCCATGCTTGAATTCATTAGGAGAAGAGGAAACCTCAAGATATTTGCTTCAAGAGCAAGAAAATATCAACGGGAGAATTGATGAGGAGAAAAGGAGCAGTCCGTGTGTCCTCACTGGAGAAGTGAGCGGCATTCGCGGATAGAGGTAGGTAGCTCGCGGTACAAACTTGACTTTGAACCTACTTTGATAAGTTTTGCAAGAAAGTCCCTCAATATTTTTAATCTAGCGATTTAACACATTAATTTTTTTCAACCCAACCCTAAGGCTTGTCATTAAAACCCCTCAATTAATTAATAATTGTTCCCTTGACTCCTTTAATAATTAAATTAAAGCTTAGAAAATTTTGGGGTATTATAAAGCCCGTCACATTTGATGCATGTCCTTACCCAGTTCACTTGGAGCACCTTGTCTTACTCTACAAATCACTCTTGGCAAACTATGTAGACCTCATCCCTTGCTTATAAATACCCCTTAAGGGTCTTCCTAAGGTGCTTTTTGACCACTATCTTCTTCTTTACTTTGGCCATTGAGTACACTATTGCTGACCTAAACATCAAAGTGTTTACTCCAAGTCCATCCTCAGGTTTTTGAGGTTGCTTTGCTTAGAACCCTGGACTTTAGTAAGGAGGATTGCAGAACTAATTTGTGCATTTTGGTGCTATTTGTGGGAAATTAAACTAAAAACCCAACATTTTTACCACTGTCACTTTTTAAAGTATGGTTAATACACGGTCTAGAAGAATTGGCAACCAAAACTGTGGCTAAAACCATGGTTGAGGTGTCAATCCTAATAAGTAAAACGACCATGTGCTACCTGCACCACACCACACCCTAATCCTAAGGGTGTATATGTTGATGAATTCTCTTAATGAGGAGGGAACCACCCTCATTGAAAAAGTTGATGAAAGTAACTATTGCAGCCTAACTTGAGGAAAAAAAAAGACCTCCAAAGAGCCAGAGAAAAGGGTAAGATAATGGCTAACTATCTCTCTTCTTTAGAAAAACTCAAATGAACAAACAAGAGTTGCAACAACTTAAGCAAAGAGATTTTGAGAAACAACTATTTGATGAGTTGAAGATGAATGAAGGCATGAAGATTGTCAAGGATTTGAGAAAATTCAAAGTCAAGAAGACACGAACGTCTAATTATAAAGAAGGAACAAAGTTTTTATGCTCAACCTTGTATCAGATTTTCTAATTTCTACAAATTTCCTTTGATATCAGTTCAAGGCAAACGTTATTAGAGCATCTGATCTATATTAGGATTTTAAAATTTCAAAATCAAAACCCTAATCCAAACCCAAGACTAGACAAATCTAGGTTTTGAAGTGTTAATATTCGAATCTTTAGATAAGATCTCCATCTAAGTTAGTCATCATTTGTCACTTTTCTTACCTGTTTAATAAATATCCCTACCCTAATTTCTTTTTACCCTCCAAATTTTAACCCTAATTCTCAAAAAATGGAGACCCTAATTCATATTTACAAATTTTTACACCAATTTCTTTGAGAGAATCAACAATATCAAGTAAAATTTTAATATCTTAAAAGAAAATACTGTTAATATGAATTGAAACATTTTTTTTATCAGCAAATCAAAGGAAATCTTATTATAATGCATACACGGGGTACTTCAACCTATTTACAAAGTTAAACTACTAACACACCTAATAAGCAAATCAGCCCTATAATAATGCACAACAAAGATCAGAAACCTGGCAATCAAATGCAACATTGTATGTATCCCTCAAAGTGCAGCTATCCCTTTTTCCAATTACTCTCGCAGTGTAAAACTCTTCAAAAACTATTTGAGACAACCTTTATTCCTTCTAACAGCTAAAGCACATTCAGTTAGGTTAGATTGCCAATTATGAAAAGAAAAAACGCATCCCTACACCTTATATTTAATCCAAGCAAATGATTTAACTTCCATTACTTTCAACAATTGCTGGCCAACTCTCTTATCATTTTGAAAAACAATTCTATTTCTCCAATACCAAAAGTACCAGGATAGCAATAGAAAAATATAAGAATCGACTTCCCTCCCAATGTTCCTCCCTAACCCATAGATAAACACCTCAACCATCCCCCTCACAGTATTCGACAATACCCCTTGCAAACCCCACCACTTCAACACTATTATCCACACCTCCCATCATTTAGCTAAGTGCAAAATAAATGACTGTTCTCCTTGACCTACTCATGACATAAACCACATAACAACTCCTCCCCTTGCAACATCACCCCTCTTCTTTGTAGATTGACTTTAGTAGCAAGCCTATCCAAGCATAACCTCAACCAAAAAAAAATAACTTTTGAAGGAATAAGTTTACACCATATCAACTTACATTCTTGTTCATCTAGAATTTTGTCACCAAGACTCTGAAAAACATAAGCCTTCTTAACCACATAAATCTCATCCTCATCATGTATCCACTTCCATTTATCTTCCCCACCCTCCCTTATCTACACACCACCCAACAAATTCAACAACACCTCCTCTTCACTAAGCTCTCTACCCAATCTCGACCTCCTCCACTCCAACTTGCACCTCCAGCAACCTTCCTCCCAACCCCCCAGCTCATGAATTTTACCATCCTTATTCATTGCCAACTAAAAAAGTCTAGGACACAGATCTCTTAAAGATTTATGCCCAAGCCAATTCTCCCTCCAAAAACCCACCCACTTACCATCACCCACCTCCCACCTAAATCCCTCCATCAACATATTTCTAAGTTTATCAGATATCCTACCAATGCTTAGAATATCCTTCCAAACATGAGATAAGCAAATTCCCTTTACTATAGTAATATCCACTTTCTGCTTCCCCTCATAATATTTCTCCCACAACGCCTTTTTCCATAACCCCCATAACCCATCACCTAATCTATACCACCACTTCCCAAGCAACGCCAAATTCTACCTACCTAAATCATGTACCCCAAGGCCCTTTCTTTCCTTGCTATAACATGCTAAATCCCATTTAACCCATAAAATTTTCCTCCTAAGCTCAACCCCTCTCATAAAAAATCCCTTTGTATACCAATTAATTCAAAAATCACACATTTTGGCATCAAAACCAAAGACATATAAACGATTGGGATGGTAGAAAGTACCGAGTTAAGTAAAGTGATGCGGCCTCCAAAGGACAAGGCGACATTCTTCCAAGCAACAAGCTTAACTTGAAATCTGCTCACAACCAGTTCCCACATCTTCTTATTCCTTGGATTCCCCTAAACTGGCATTCCTAGATAAATAAAAGGCATAGTTCCAATTCCACAACCCAAAACAATAGCTGCCCCCTTTAACCATCTCTTTGAAATGCCAAAACCATGAACATTGCTCTTACCAAAGTTTATCCTCAAACCCAAAACCAGTTCAAACCAACACAAAATTATTTTCACCATATTTATGTTTTCACTATCAACACAATCCATAATAACTATATCATCAGCAAACTGAAGCAAAGACACCACCATCCGCCTCCTACCAATCTCCACCCCACGCAACAATCCCTCATCCTCTGCTTTTTTAACAATCTCATGTAG